CATTTAGTCTGACATCACAATCTCACATGAATCACATAAACACCTTCATGCTCATAAGAGATAAAAAAGCAGGATCACAATTCTTGTACCATAACCAATAATCTCTTGGATTGAGATTAAATAACACCATTGATCACTCTCCCCCTGAACATATCCACACACTGTACAAATCCATCTTGAACTATATAGTCATAGACAACCTTGTTCTTTAAGAGAGAAAATCCAATCAAACCTGGATTGTTCACATCCCCGAAAGAGGCATACAAATTCGCTTAACTCCTTGGTTAGCCAAGATATCATCCATACATGGAAGAAATCAAACCTCTTCACCATATGAAGAGAGATACATCCTCAACCTGCTTTCTTCTCAAGATTTAGCCTGATACAATCTTTTCTGGAGATACCTCCAACAGAACCTACCATATATTCACAGATAATCAGAATCCACACAGTCATGACCATACTCCACAATGAGTAGATAATTCACTTATGGTCAAACTGGTGAGTAACAAACTCCACACCATGAACTACAAATTATCTCCCATGGAAAAATAACTTTTCTTTCTTACAAACATCCTGAATGACATTATAGAGTCAACACACATCCTTAAGCATCCAAAGAGGAGATTCCCTCTAACAGATATCAGTAAGACTGACAATAAACACTAACGTAGATGCTGAGCATCATACCATAAGCAGACTTCTCAACAAGGTCTACTTCTCTTTTATCATTTAGTCCTCTATCCTTCAAAACTCTACCTTGCAAGACCATAATAACTCTATAAGATGAAGTACATTAGCATTTACAACGGCTAATGTTCATGCAATAAGCTCGAGCCTGTAGTTCCTCGAGGCTTCCACAAATAAATATGGTCCTTGACTAAGAGACCAATAAGAAACCACAACAGGACTGGAAATTCCAGTGCTAAAAGCTTCTTACTCTAGATATAAATTTGGATTACTCATACTAAACAACTTAGATGAGACTCCAAGAAGAAGATATGAATATACCAAACAATCAACAACTCCCGCGAGCTTTTGCCATTGCATGATTCACAAAGGTTGAGACATAGTTTAGCACCAGCCATACAAATGAAGAGCACATAAGCCTAAAGAGACCAACCTTTAACAAACAAACAAAAAACAGCTTTAGTGCATACTTTCTGCCTTTAGCATGAATATTCTGATGTTAAGCACAATTTCAGGATATTTGAAAGACATCAATGACTATGCTAGCCAATTGATGAACCACACTGAGTTCCACCTTAGATGATACATTTTTGAAGATCTATCCCTTTTAGGCTTCTAGACACCATCTCACGTTGAAGAACTTCTCTTCCATAACAGAATAAGAGTTATATGTTTACATAGACTTGATGATAGTCTACTTCAAGCACAATACTCCAAGAGAATTATCCACACCCGATCAGAGTCCACACCTAACCTTAGAAGAGGTAGTCACAAGATAGATACAAATATCTATAAGATCACTCATATCAAACTTTAAAAGACCAGAAAAGTCTCCAAGATGTCAGGGTGAATGTTCTAGACATTTTCCCTTGACTTTCATTCGCACAGAATCTGGTAGAGATGTCTTCACAGTCCTCCACTAGGAATTTGAACACATACTCCTATAGGAGATATATGAACATATCTTATGTACCTCTATGCGCTTAGATCAGAAATAAATTGACCCAACGAATGTTCATCAAGATGACCATGAGTTAATTTTGACTTCCACCAATACACCTATCCATAACAAGATCTTGGATAAAGACTTCCTAGACTGCAAACTAGATGACTCTTCAAGACCAATTTGAAGAAGATTCCCAACATTATTGATAAACACACATTTGTTTATCATCCAAAACATATGTTACATCCCTCCTTTGTCTAAGAATTTCACTCTTTGGATCAACAAGATTCTGCACACACTCTTCTGAAGTGATGTTTCAACATCTGGTTGAATATCAGTTCCTTTTCCCATGAACAGATCATTGAAATTAGTTTTGAAGTCATTACAAGAGTTAAATACCTTGATTACATTTAAGGAAAATATAAGGACCTATTGAGAACTCCATATATGATACCGACTGTATCCATTCTTTAAGACAGATCAGATACATAGAAAAGGTTCTTGAGTTCTTGACATCATCTTTCTTAAACACCAAAAAAAAGGATAATCAATTAAATACTTGATAAGGCCACAAATAGAAATTATTTTAATTCCCAATTATGTATTCTTCAGTCATAAAATGTCATAAGACACTCCTCTTTACTCTAGCAACAACCTAGAAAGAAATATTCAATGCATAAATCTTCCTTAGAAGACAATCATCTCTTCTAAACTCTATTTATCAAACATATTCTGAAGTGCCTTTATGAGTGGACTTGAGAGAGAACTTAAGCATCTTAGACTACCTTAAACATGGCATAAAGTGTTTACCAAATCCATAGATCATGAATTTGATGAACAAGACCTCAAGTCAACCTTTTTCCTCCTATTACCCTTCATGGTACCTGGTTGACACTGTTTCCCAAGCAACATAGGAAGATCCTTCAGTGGAAGACAGATCATAATGCTTTCTCCTTTATATAACTCCCAGCTAGTGATGACATGAACATCTAGAGAGGCTTACACCATCTTCAGCAAGCCAGGTGAAATGTCAGAACATTTTATAAGGCACCATGAATAACAATAACATCATTATCAGCAGCATAGGAAGAATTTACATAGAAGTATCACTCAATCATCAGTAGTTGTCAGGACGGATTCAGAAAGCTATCCTCCTAGCTTCTAATCCCCTTGAACACAACAATAATGGATGGACTGATCATACAATCTCCTTCCTTGTTTAAAAGACCAGAAAGTATCTTTCCTAGAACTCATTCAGAAACATAACAAGATGCCTGCTCTGATACCAATTGAAATTCTAGTATACAGACCTCAGATGTCCCAAGAGATGTCGAGATATTGTTATCTGCTTCACTAAATAAGGGCGGGATAAGAACATTCCGATATCTCAAAGTCATAATAGTGCCATGACAGAAGTTCCAACATATGTTTTAACATATATTTGAGAGTATAAGAATAACTGAAATATACAACAGAATGATAAATAACACCAAGATATGATGACCCAGTTTGGTGTACAACAAAACCTACATCTATGGGCTACCAAGTCAGGAATGAATTCACTATCAGTAGTATTAATTCAGAGCTAAACAACCTCTGGTTTACAACTCCTCACTTAATCCCTACCCAGAGCAACTTCTACCTAGAACCTCTTCTAGATAAGAGAAACCCATCTCAATTCCTAAATCACATCAGTGATATCTAACCATCACAACCTCTGGTGACTGTATCAAACTGTTCAATTGAAAGACAACCCTTTCAATACAATACCCCCCCTATTAAGTAACTCGCCTAAAAATAAATTAACACATTACCAATAACAATTAATAACAAAAATATTTAGAATAAGATATTAATCTACTCATAATTATAATTAATAATATTATAATTTACCCTATATCTAATTAATCTATAAATAAAAACCCCTTAACTAACAACACTCTAATTTCTTAATCAAAATAACCCTTAATGATTAAAATATTAAATAATAATGCTAAAAATGGAATTCTAATAATTAAACCTAATTATAGATTACTAATATGTTAGACTAACTATATGAAATATATTAATAATTACTTTCTAATATATTAATCCTAATTTATAAAGGTATAATTTCCCTAAAAGTTATTGAATGACCTATGTCTAAATTATTATAAATAAATAATTCAAAATGTCATTTTAACTAGATAAACTAACATTATATATTAAACTTACATATGGTCTAAAATAAACTTCGGGAAAAAAAGAAAAAAAATTCAAAATGGTCCCTTTGACTTTTTTTCTGTCATTGGGGATATTAGATGACTGGCAAGTTTTGGTTCTGTTAGTAAACAAATGTCACAAGTTAGGTAAAAAGGTGGTCAAAATTTAGAGTACGACACCAAATTAAAAACAAATAACAAAATTGGTATTCCTTTTTTATATAAATTTATATTGTGGCAAAATCAAATGTACAAATTTACATTGTTGTCATCAACACATATTACAAAAGTTAGAGTTTTGTACATGAAAATGTCAAAACCTCTATATGTACAAAATTTGCTTATAACAAAATAAAAATTAGAGAATTTCTTACCCCACCCCTTAAGGTTCTTAGGCACTATCTGCGCTTCCAAAAATACCCCCTACTTTCGGAGATATATCTCCGAACGCACCTTTTTTTTACTCAACGTTGGTTTTTTCGAAGCTACATCTACGTAATATTTCCATTTATACAACTCCGGAACATATTGGAATACATTCGTGTCAGAGACCCTTTTCCTCCCTCATTCTTCATTTTTCATCTTCTTCACTCTCAAACTCTCTAAACTCTCTCAATCCTCAAAAAATCATTTTTCATCAAACTTAATTTTTTTCAATCGAGTTTAACAAGGAGCATTCATTTCAATAATCAATACAATCCAAATCATTCAAAACTCGATATAATCGGTAAGTTCTCGAGTTTCCAAGGTATTTTTGAGTATTTCCCGTAAACGAGATAAAATATATTTTTAGGGGTAGAAATCCTTAGATAGTTTTAGAAACATAGTTTAGAGACAGTGTAGGTATTATTTTTTGGTTGAAACGGACGACCAGGGCTTCAAAAAATCAATTTTTATTGGTAGGGGACGTCATTTTCGTGAGTTGCAGAAAGTTCCAGAGCTACATCTACGGAACAAATTAATGTTAGGGAAATTCCTTAGATATATCTCTAGAACAAATCAAACATTGTAAATTATAGGTACTTCCATAGATACATCTACGGAAGTTTTCCGTGTGTACATATCCGGAAGTAAAACAATGTTTATTTTTTTTCTAACACCTAGATTTGGTGAGGCGTTCGTTGCTGCACAACAGGAAGGATGATGATCTAGTTGAGGTTGAGATGCACAAGCAGCATGTGTTGTGGTGTTATTTTATATTTTTAGTTGGAACTCAGCTGTTTGTGGACACGAGCTCCACATATACTGACATTGCTTACCTCAGGTACTTTTTAGATTCCACATGGACCCATGAGTACAACCGGGGGGAGGATACACTAGCGTACACATATTCGAGGTTAGGAGAGGGATGCCTGTGGAAGACCAGGATTGTGACAGGCAGCGTGTCACTAATTGTGGTAACAATCTTATATCCTTCAACGTTTTTCATTTTCATTCTATATTCGTGATATTGCTTGATCTTGATATTTTTTATTTTCATTTCAGGCTTGGATATTCCATCGTTTTCCCATGAACGCCGAGTGGGGGAGTGTGTTTGGTTACACAGAGCTGATGTTATGCGCTCGTGCCTTTCTCCCGCTCAGGAGGAACCAGGCGGTCGACCCTTACAGAGTCTATCTCGATCGCCTGGCTGCTGAGGAGATCCACCATGACGTCTATGCTGATCACCATGTGACGCGCCCATTTGATGACATCTCACTATTCTCAGGATGGTTGGTATGCAATTAAACCATCAGTATTATGACAAGATGATAAGAAGATACCATCTCAAATCGATCGGATATCATCTATCTCTTCTTGTGAGAATGATGTATATTTGTTAAACTCCTATAATTAGAAAAAGTTTAAATTATGGTAAGATAAGAGCAACAACATTAACTTAAGAAATATACATAAATTATATGTATGTGGATTAAGCTATTCTTTTACGCTTGGTCCATAAATTTGTAATGCCTTCGGCGACAATATCATGCATATGTTTCATAACATAGTATCCATAAGAATAGATGTCAGATTGTCTTCTCGACTACAAATAATGTTCATATAGTTACTACCTAATACACACAAATAAAAGAATATCAAAAAGCACAAGAAATACTTACTCTTGGGAAAATGATCCTTGACCTTCTACCAATAAAATTATATTTGATTGCATTGTATCCCTCCATCGCTCTACACATGTTCGTAAAAATTAAACATGCATAATTACTATTCAAAACTAAAGGTCAAATTTGAATAAAAACTAATACCATTACCCACACAAAGCATTTAACATAACTTCATTAACGGGATTGTGCATAAAGCAAAGGAACACTAAATTATTTTTCTTCAGACATATAATAATTAATTGCCAATAATTACTGCATAAGCATTCAGAATAGTTAATAATATGTACAAAATTGATTTATAAATGAAAATACAAATCAATATATACTCACGCGTGGAAAACGAGGCCAAATAACATTTTTGTTCTCTTCTACCAAATTGTCTTATAAGTAAAGCTTGATATTATTTGATGCCCTACCACTATGAATTTTAATGGAATTTGGATCTACCATAATATACTTTCTTAAACCCCTTTCAACAGACATATCATGCAAGTACCTGCAAGAATAAAAAATTTATTGTTAAATTACAATAATGTATGAATATAAATAGAAATGATCAATATAAAAATTATACTTAAGAGAACCACAATTGTATTATGGTAATGTCTAGCCATTCACCCCTCCCCCCCCCCCCCCCCCCCCATTCAAAAACATCCTTAATAGTAGACTTAGGAAGTACGTAAAACTGATCTGGAACATTACTTAATTGAATATTCTGACAGATATCTGGAATACTCTATACTATCATTTTTTGTCTGTAAATGTTATCTACTTGTTGTGGTGTGTTTTCAATATTGTCCTGATGGGCAGAACAACTTTCTTTTACACTTGTACCACTCATTACTTTCTCTTGAATATCCAACTGATTTGAATTTGTTTGGTTAAGTAAACCCAATGAACTCAATCTTTGCATCATAAAAACAACAGAAATACAATACAAAAATTGAAATGCAAATAACAATAACAACAACATACATAACATATTTTTTAACTTATACTTATACCTCAAGCACATCACGAGTACATTTTTGGGATAACCTCTCATACTCCTCATTATTCGCCTTCTTTACCTCCACCTTAACCAAACTCTCTCGCTTTTCTTATTCTGTTTGGACCCGCTCCCGCACTTGTTGCAACAACCTCTCAGTCTCCTCCTACAACACCCTCTCCCGCTCCTCTGTTTTCACCCTCTAATGTTAATCTTGATTCCAAGTCTCCCTTTCCTCCACCAACTTAACAACAACTATCTCCTCAATCTCTTCCATATTGCATACTATTCTAATTTATTTAGATCATCCAAAAATATTGAAGCCAACGCCTCTTCCAAGACCATGAACATGCACAAGATGCTCCTCGGCTCCAATCGCTTCAACCAATATGTCATGCCGATCTTCTGGAACAAAAAGGCCAATTTTGTATTGTTCAACTAATAAATCTTAAACACATATAAAATTTCATCTTTACCAAGTTTATATAACCAAAATAAATAATATTGTTGAAAAAAAGAATCTACTTACAATCTTTTCATCCATTTTGTAGGTAACCTCTGATGTGAACTCACCACCTTTTCTTTGACGAGCCCTGTTCCATTTCTCATGGCGTGATGGTGGAAATGAGTGCAAACAAGGCTTCTAGAATCACCCAGCTCTTGTTCCCTTTGTTTTCTTTTTTCTTCAATCATCGTCTTTTCAAGTTTGTCATATCCTCCATGAGATAATCTATGTAGATGGAGATTTATAGATCTATTAAGCTTTTCTGTTTTGCTCTTTGCCAAGATTTTGGGAGTGGTGTGATACTTTACAAATTCCTCCCAACAATCCTGATCACTATATGAATACATCGGGTATGGAGGCTTTTCTATACTTTTAGTTGTTGGATGAGTGATATAATCATGGGTGAGTTGTGTCTTAAAGCCCCTCCAACGCTCACCAGCATATGTAAGCACCTTCTCTTTCACCTTACTATCATATGGACTAGAATTGAAGTCGTCTTGCTTCCATCTATGTTTCTAGCCATAAATGTCTGAAAACATTTGTCATATTTCTTTATGACGATTTTAGAATCAAAAGAAGCTTCTGAAAGAATTTCTCCCTCAAGTTTAGAGCTTTTACTTTGAAGAGCAGAGTTTTCATTTATAGAATAAAGTTCTCTTCATTCAAAGTGGAAAAATATTTCTTAAGCTTACTATGTACTTTAGATTTAGATGCATGGACTTGTTTCAGATCCTTGCGTTTGTTCTGAAGCTACTAATATTTTTCCAAAATTTCAAAAAAAAATCTAGTTTCTAATGCAGAACGAGGTAAGTTATGAAATATCTCTTTAGAGTCTGAATCAGATTTTGATTTTGATTGAATCTTTTCATCAAATGCTTTTGTGCTTGCCATCAGTGATACACCAGTTTGCTCTTCCTCAGAGTCATCTTTTGAGGATTCAGAGTCATCCCAGGTAGCCACCAGACCTTTCTTCTTTCCTCTAAAGTCTTTCTTTTTTTGTTTGTCTTTCTTCAGCTTGGGACACTCATTCTTCTAGTAACCTGGCTCCTTGCACTCAAAGCAGATAACGTCTTTTCCAACACCTGACTTCTTCAGTCTAGATGTAGACTCAAAGCGACCACCTATCCTTCTGGAGCCTCTGAACTTGCTTTGTCTTTTCTTCAAGAGTTTAGCAACTCGTCTAGAGAGAAGCGATAATTCATCTTCATCTTCAGAGTCTTCTTCATAATCCTCTTCTTCTTCAGCTTGAAAGGCTTTAGTTTATTTTAGACTTTCCCATGGATTTGAGATCCACATATTTAACTTTTGTTTGAGGCTCATCCTCTTCAAGCTCTATCTCATGACTTTTCAAAGAACTCACAATTTCTTAGATAGTTCAGTGCAGTTACCATAGGCCTCCATCTCTTGGATATGCTTCTGATAATTTTCTTAACATGATCTGCACTTGAGTAACATTTGTCTAAAACCTTCACTCCTACAAAAAGATTCTAAAACCTTGAGAACATGTTCTCAAGAGTTTCATTATCTTCCATCTTGAAAGCTTCATACTTTTGTATCAAGGAAAGTGCCTTGGTTTCTTTTACTTGAGTGTTTCCTTCACGAATCATTCTCAAAGAATCAAATATATAATTTAATATGTACCTATTTGTAATATTTTCATACACAGTGTATGAAATATCATTCAACAAGATGGTTCTTTCTTTATGATGATTCTTGTAATCTTTCTTTTGTTGATCAGTCGTCATTCTTCTTTCCACCTTGTTACCACTGCCATCAACAGGATGAATGTATCCATAAACTACCATATCCTATAGATCCACATCATGACCAAGAAAGAAACTTTCTATTATATCTTTCTAGTAATAAAATTTTTCTCCATCAAAAACAGGGGTTTTTTTCACTATAGTGATCTCTATCAGCAGGTGTAACTTGTGGAGGGATAGTAGCCATTATGTTTCACAAACTAGATTTTTTTCTTACATGACAAAGTGTTTGATGCACAACCCATACCATAAATGGAGCTCTGATGCCAATTGAAGGTGAAGAGAAACAATAGAAAGTGTGTTTGAATTGGGTTTCTAAAAATGAAATCTTTTTCTACCCAACACACAAACAGAAAACTAAAAACAAAAATAATGAAACAATTATATTTATTCTGGTTCGCTGTTAACTAAGCTACCTTTAGTCCACCCGCCAAGGTGATTTCACCTTATCACAAGGAATTAATCCACTATAATCAAACTTGATTACAACACGAAGACCAATTGTGAATGTCTTATTGGTTATTTATAACTAAACCCTAGTCACTCAAGGAAATACAATCACAATGATTAAGATACAAAGTGTGTATAAAATGCTTCTAATAGAGAAGAATACATAAACAAATTATAAGTATATCATAAAAAAATATATTCTATGAAGAGTATGAACAAAAGTTCGTTGTGTGAGTGTTTCTTTTCTCTCAAAATATTTTCACAAAGTTCATTCTTTACATATATGATAATCTCTTAAAGTGTAGCACTGTTCCATTCTTCCAAGTCTTCTTTGTATAGGCAAAGAAACGATTCGTTGGAGGGTAGAATTGGAATACCAAAATCCAATTGTATCCTTGCATAATGGTAGAATAGTACAACCCTTAGCCCACAAAATCAGTATAGTGAAAGGAATATTTGATCTTGTACTATGTATTATTTTCTCATGTAAAACCTTTTGATCTTATCTTCAATATTCAGATGCTTCTGTTAGATAAGTAATGAAGCATGCATAAAATGAGAGTAAGAGTTTGGTTGCGAGAATCTTCATAAACATGGTCTTCAGAGTCTTTATCCAGTTCATCAGAACCTAGTATTTAGAATCTGGTGACACAGATCAGAGTTGTTTGAGCATAGGGCTTCAGAGCATAACATAGTCAGAAGCATCAGAGTAATAAGTCTTTGTATAAGTAGAAATTAGAAGCTTTGAGTACAGAATCCAGAGCTTGTAAAAACACACATCTCAGAGTCAGAGTGCGCTAGAGTAAGAATCTGATGACATCACACATCATTCAATTAGATTTAGAACTAGTATCTAGTATATGTGAAGGTGAGAAAAATACACAAGAAGGGGGGTTGAATTAATTTATCTGTTT